AAGCATAATTCCAGCTTTACACTCTCTCCTCAAGACTCCTTTTTCACTGAGAAATATCAATAGAAAGTGGTCGACTGAGTCAACAAGCTACATGCTGTTGACTGAAGTCTGACAGAAGTTTGAAATGGCCCATTTTTTTAGTAGAAATTGCAAGTGTCATCTGGCTCGCATTGTTTTATTTCCATGTCATTTTTGCACTTTACACCTCCATGGTATGTGTCTTAGACCGCAGGTCCATCAGGATGCCTCTATATTTAACCCATCTGAAGTTGTGAAATTTGTTTATCACCTTATCATCCGTCTCAAGGAGAAGGGGAGAGAAAAGAGGATGTAGGAGAGAATGAAAAGGGGAAAGTGTCTCAATGGAGAGGCGTAAAAACCGAGAGGATAGGGACAGAGTTGAAGCCGAGGTGCTTGGCACTCTGACAGCTGGTATTGTGAACTTGGATACACCCTTTCCCACCTGCCTCCACTATGCCAAGGAAAACTAATTACCACCACGTCAGATCTCTAGCTAGCAACAGCTACTGCCTTAGCTAATGTGACACCCTGCTTCTGTTGCAGAACAATGCAGGAGACATGTCACATCCTGGCAGAGCACGCATGTGAAAGGCAAGCATTTCCTATCACGCTCATTCAGACAGTGCTTGGAGAGGAATTCAGCTTCATGGTGTGACATTTGATTGAGTCAAAACTTGTGCTCTCACCCTTTTGTTCGCCACAACTCCTGACTGACATCCTGAACGTGGAGAGTGAAGAGATTGTCTTATTATGTAATACTGAAATGGATGTGTGTGAAGCAAGAGAAATAACAGTCACTCTCTCCCTCCTATGAAATGAAATGCCAAGGTAAAAGGGGTCGCTGACTCACGTTGCTGCTTTGAGGTTAAATTTACTATCTCACCACCCATGATTATGAAATGCAATTTCATCAAATAAAACAGGGAACACTCATAATGCTGCTTTGATTCACTAAATTTTTTAATCCACTGCAAATGCCATTGCATACACACACGTACATAAAATGTTTCTAGGTTCCTTAATAAGATCTGGCAAAAAATCCAGAGATGGACATGACCCTGTTTGGCTTCACCTAAGTTGTACTTTCTCGTCCTTTTTTATTGATGTTGTTGGCTTGACTGTGTTTTATATTGCATTTTAAAACATTATTGAAAGTTCAGCCTGGCAAAATAAGCTGCTGAATCTTTTAAACATTGATTATTTTATCAGGTTGTGTTGGTGGTGTTAGTGGAAATTTCTGTGGCAGAATTAGAAATAGTATTTCTTCACAATAATGATATGTTGTTATCCAACAACAGACAGCATTGTATCTAACCTGCAGTGTCCCTGCAGGTGGCCCCACTGCAAATATTTTAATTGCCAAGTACTTTATGACAAATAAATAACTGAACAATAAATACAGCTCCATTGCTTCACATTGTTTCAGACAAACCGACTTGGCTTGGTGATGGTTGATTACATATTGTGATTGGCCAGTCCCAGCACATGCACGTGGCATGCTCTGCACACAGCTGCACACAGAGAGAGGGCCAATAAAGACACAGACAGGGACAGTAAAAACTTTGTGGATTTATTAACTGTCCACCGAGGCCGCAGGATTTCTCCCGGTGCTCCTGATGGTCAATCAACTATGACAGACAGGTCTGTTGTCAGTTGATATTGTAGTGGATCACCACAAATAAATCAATATATGTGGAAACAATGCATTTTGTGTTAGTGTTGTTACAGAACCACATGAGCCTACTCTAGTGATAGGGCAACAGGGATTTTTGACACAAACAAGGAGGATTTACTCATTTGCTCATTATCAGAACTGCATCACATTCTCTGTCATTACATTTTTACCTGTTGATAAATTATGTACGACATGGAAAAAATTATTTTCCATTGTAGATCCTGTACTGTGACTGTATGTGTGAAAAGGTAACCATGACAAATTGTTTTGTTCCCAATCTACTGTGTACCATCTAAGTTCACAAAGGTCTGGGCCTTGTGATGAAACCTGCTGTCACTGGGAGAGTGTGGGTGGTGTCAGTTTTAAGCATATCATCTGTCAACACACACAGGCTGTAGATACACACACACACGTACCGCTTCCCTGAACTCATTTTGGCATCCAAGGCCAGGGGATAATAGTGTCACTGTGTGTAAGGTTTGCATGCGTGCGTATGGGTTCGTGTGTGCTCTAACCCTGCCTCCAGGCTGCATGAGTGTGTGCTTTTGTGCTTGTGTTGTGTGTGTGTGTGTTATGTGCTGTTGGCAGGGGAGACAGCTAGACACATGGCACATGGCAAGTGTGTAAGCAAGTCCCAGAAACACCTGAGCCCCAGTGTGTGTATGTGAGTGTGATGTGTGTAGGTGAGTTCCCATGTTGAAGGATGATCTCCTCATCGCAGCACCTGTCACTGGGTGTTGATGGTCGATCCTGCAGTTTCTGCCAGTTTGACTGTAATTGGTCATTAGTATCCTGTCAGCCCATCCAAAAGGAAATCCTCTGCAGACATCTGTTTGTTGGTTTTAAGTTTGTCGTCACCCCACTTTAGTTCTTTTTTTTTTTTCCAAGCCATATATTTAATCAAATTAATGGTCACCTGTCAAGGGTGTCATATCCCCTTTGAGCATGTGTCAGTGTTGTGGTTATCTGCCAGAAGCGGTCAGAATTCACTTTTGATCCAGTATTAAGCCACTTTTTTACAATACACTTTTTACATCTTGGTTGTTTTAAACTATATATTTTAATCGGATGAAGGATTTTAGTTATTGGATTGTCCGGATTCTTAAGTTATCAGAGAAACAAGCTGAGCAAATGTTAGCGACAGCTTGGCTCCCAGTCCCTACAAGGCCCAGCTCCTTCTTGTATCCACCGAACAGCATTGGAAAAACACAGATTTTTTTAAGTTGAAACTGCTCTATTTGGTGTTTTTGCTGGATTTAATCACTGCGTCCGTTTGTTTTGTGATGCTGATATCATCCCCACTGGAATGCTTGTTTCAGTTAGAATATTTTATTATATCCTTTATTTATATTGTTCTTTTATGTGTTTGTAGTTGACTGGGGTCATTTACATACCACTTGTTTGTGTCAGAGTAGAGTTTAATGTATGTGATGCCCTGAGATCACCAATGAAATATGTTGAAATTCGTATACAATATTGAATCTTAATCGTAAGTTATGATATCTAACACAGACTTTATGGAGTGCAGCGAATACAAACTCTCATCACATATTTACTATGACTCTGAGTTTGTAGTTGCTAATTCTCACACTTTTAACACAAACTTTTATAGCTGCAATATTTAATGCAAAACCTCATCCAGATTCTGTTCAGCTCACATTTCATTGTGCAATAGTAGTTGTAGCTGCTTCCTAAGCATGACTGACATGCAAATTTTATACATTTATCAATAATTAGAGTTGATATTGAAACTTCATCTTTTTCAATTCATGCGGCATGATATTTTACTTGTGTGTATCTTGCATTTAAAAGAAAAGTATTTAAAATACATATCGTGATTTCTTGAAATGTCATCATCTGTTTTGATACAGGGGGCAGCTTGCATGCTGCTGTGCATAAACCAGCTCTAAATTCTAAGAATAGACCTTAAAACCCTCTTCTGCTAAACCGGAAGCCTCTATATTTAACTCATCTAAGTCTGGTTACCATGACAAATGAGGGACATGCATCCCATATTGCATTACGAGGGCACTGTTATAGACTCCTATCTGGCCTGAAATTGGTTTGAAGATCAGATCAATAGATTGTAGACCTGGGAAGGTCATCAGTGTCATTACAGTCAAACAGTGATGATGCTATAAAGATCTGCTGCATTAGTCATTCTTGGATGTTAGCTGTAGCTTTAGTGTCCAGCAGGATTTATCTTCCTCATGACTGCTGATGCAATTTCTGTTCTTCTTATAGGCCACTGTAAGTCAGTGCACTACACAAGAAAGGCACCACATCTATAGAATATTATAAGTTGTTTAAAAAATTTTAAAACATGCTTTGATGTCATATTTGGGTCACTGCTTAAAGATCCTCTTCGAGTGTGAAATATTATTTCTAGTGTTGGGAAGGCTATAAATATTCTGCTAATACTCCTCTCCACCCTCAGGCTGGTGGATGAATGCAGCTCCAGCCAAGTGTTTTGTATTCTGACAGTTTTGTTCAGCTTTGAACTTTAGAGGACTTCTGCAAGACAATCTCGATATGAATTCACATTTGAACATGGTGTGTATGTAGTTTTTCACAGGGCTGGAAGAAGTAATTTGATCTGTTGCCATAATGTAAAATTACTCCATGGTAAGTGAGAACAAGTAGCATCAGCAAAATGTAACAGAACAAAAAAAAACAACAACAAAAAACAACAACAAAAAAACACTGTGAATATGTCATATTTTTGTACATTACATCCCTGGATTATTATTACTGATAAATTCATATCACAAATAAATTCAGAATAATAATAGAAGTGTCCATTTAAGCAAACATACTTTTTCTTCAGTGCAATAAGTAATGATGAAACAAACGGATGACTTTTCTAAGGCTTTGAAAATAGAAGACAGTGAGGTGTATGACTCTGTCAGCATCTCTCTGTCAATCTGAAACTGTGTCTGTGAGCTTTGACCCGTATTTGTGTCACCATCAGAGACGGTCTGTTTCAGAGCAGCATCTGCAATCCACCATAAAATAGCCTCCCTTGCTTATTTATGCCAATATCTAACCAAACCTAACTTATTTTGTCAAATAGTTCCAGTTCATAGTCAGGGGTGGTTTCTATGATGGTTGCACAGCTGTCATAATTCATTTTCCTTTTAGGAGAGGTATGGGGACACAGTCAGTAAAAACAAGAGCTGTTACCCTCAGGCTTATGATAATATAAAACGGTCTTGATGTTTTACCACAACAACATCTGTGTGAGTCTGCTGATGTAAAAATGACTTGAGATACAAACTTGTTGCAGAGTAGGAAACATAAACTTGTATTTTAATAGTCTGCCACACATATGGAGCAATCAATCAGTTCTCATTTATATGATTTTTCAAAGATAAGACCAAATGACATTTACTCCCTTGTATCGCTCTGGAAAAATCTTTAATGTCCTTGAGTTTCATACATCTCTCCAAAGTGATCGTGATAAGATAGAAGTGCTCTGTCTTCCTCTGATTCAGCTCAAACCTGGGGAGATAAAGAGCAGCAATTCAGATCATCAGGCTGTCAGATAGGAGCCGTGGTAGAGAACGAATTCAAGACAACTCCTGGTGTGCAGGAGGGACGATAAAAACGTCACTGCAGGGGAGAGACAGTGGGTGGCTGTGGTGTGTGTGTGTGTGTGTGTGTGTGTGTGTGTGTGTGTGTGTGTGTGTGTGTGTGTGTGTGTGTGTGTGTGAAGGTATGATGAATAACACAAAACATGTACAAGGATTACAGTAATCTGAGTATATTAAATTGGTCACTTTAATACGTTAGTGTTTGTGTAAAAAATGTAAAAAAAAATATTGGATCAAAGAGACGCATTTGACTGAGATTATAATCATGTTTTATCTTGTGATTGTGCGTCATTGTATACAGGCTGCAATAATTATAGATGATAACTATGCTATTCAGATGAGTCTATAACCGGGGTACATTGTTCATTTAGCGTCATATTCCATGTATTTTGGAGACAAAGTAATTGAGAGAAATCAGATTATGTTAGATCAACACAAAGGATTATATTGCTGGGTCAAATCTGGAGCGGGTGCTCAGTAATCCGTAACAGATTACATTTTAAAAGGAGCCTGTACCAGGCGCGGGTGGGTGTGTGGTAGAGATTGGAAACAGTTTGGAAATGAGAGCCATGTCAGTGGGGCTGCAGGAGAAGATGATAAAAATCGTTTCTGACTGTGCTCAGTTCTCACATCCACCTCCCGCCCGGCATCTGCGTCTGCTTGACCATTATGAGCGAACAGGCAGGATAGAGCGAGAACAGAACGGAGTGAGCGGTGGAGAGGCAAACGGTGCGAGAAAGAGTCAGGAGGAGAGAGGGAAAGGATAGACACGAGTCTTGAGAATATTTTGTTGGATGATTAAAAGAAATGCTCTCTATTATGAGACCAACTACTGAGTTCATTAACATTAACATAATATAAGAGAAGTAGCATGAACCAGCCAATGTTTATTATCATTTATATTATTATGAAGTATTCTCAAGTTAAACATCATGCAGTAAAGAACTCTTATAATCCTGGAAGTCACACTCTTTGCCATCTATATGTATCCGTTTGACTTGGTGTCTTGATTAGATTTTTGAAATGTAGCCGGTGACATGTATGGCATGGCCGCTGTGTCTGACAATTTTTGTAACTATGAAACCAACAATCTGACAGGCACGCTACGTCACATTGTGACTGAGCAGGTGTATAGCTTTGAACCTCTCTCCAGGTCTTTTCAAATTCTTCACATGATTACTTATTTCTCACTTATTACAGTTAGTCATTTCTCATGTCATCAATAGAGTGCAACACAATCACACTTTGGAACAAAGACCAAGAATGCGCTTTTATCCCCATTTGAATGCTTTTTGTGTTTCACAGGCTTTTCATGCTGCTCTTTTTGAAACAACTACAAGCACTTAAGCTGTCAAACGTGGCCAGATGACAAGTTGTACAGTTTTGTTTCAAGCACACTATGTCAGTGTACTGTCCAGTAGTGTTCTAGCTCACTGACTATAACTGACTCTAACACCAACAGTATTAAAGTGACAGAATTATGCTGCAGTGTTGCCAAAAAAACTCAGCAGAATTCATCTTGTCCTCTGTGATAAATAAGAAAATGAAGCCAAACTGCCCTCCAGTCTCAGTTTTATTGTGACTGCACATTGAAGGAAGTAAATTAAGAGGAAGGGGCAACATGTGCAACCTCAGGCTAGAATCAGGGCATCAGTAACCATGTAGGAATAACGTGTTTTATGGTGATGTTCGATCATTCAGTCAGTCATATACTGCCACTCATTTCAGTGAGCACACCGTTCATAAAGGGTTGCTACCTCTGAAATATATCAGTGGAATGCAGAGTGGGTCTATGTCTGAATGCATTTGTAAGTTTGTCCATGCATGTATGCATGTGTGTTTCTCTTGTGATACTAATGCAAGTTTGCAAAGATTGTGGGCGGTTTTTGACTTAATGTGCTTTTCACATTTGATCATAATCACATCACACTGCCCCTTCAAGGATAATACTTACTCTGAGTACTCACAGACGCATGTGTTCTCTCTCTCTCTCTCTGTCTCTCTCTCTCTCTCTCTCTCTCTCTCTCTCTCTCTCTCTCTCTCTGTCACACACACGCACATTCCATTCAGTCAGTAGTGTAGATATCTAATAAAGTAATATATAACAAGGCAGTGAAGTCTTAAGTGCTGGGATAAAGTCTAAAAAGTAAAACTTTGTAGGTGGTGATTTGTAGGAAATCTGCCTTTTTCAGGAAGTTAAACTCATGTTCAAAGCAACTGCACTTTTATTTTTATTAATTAACTCATATGGCTGAGCAGCTGCAAGTTGGCTGTGCAACTAGAGCAGTTGTCCGTCTCATAATTGTAATTATGGTTCTTTTTGCCACTTTTATTCATTTGTCTTGTGTCTGTAGCCAGTGCTTCAGCAGTTGCTAACAACACTGGACAATGTGTTTTTCGTCCCGAATTACGATGCGATTGGTCCACGTATGAGTTTTTTCAATCATACATTTGTGTACATTTTCGATTCTTGACATCGTACAATTTTAGTTTCCTTGTAACAGTCTTTTATTAATTTCAGAGTATTTTGTTTAAAAAAAAAAATATCTTGTCTACCTGATTGAGTGAATCGCACAGGTTTTACTCGTTGGTCCAGCATGCTTTGTGGTGGGGGAGCTATATGCTTCTGCCATTCTGTATTTGTTGTTGTTTCATATCTAAGTTGCTCACACTTTCATAAGTGAATGTAATTTTAAAAGCAGAAACTTAGAGTTAAAAAGTATTTGAAATCAGTCTTGGTGTTGACTTTGCACTGTCTGATGGATAAATCTTTCCCTTTGTTTCTTTGAATGGTAGATTGCAGTTAAATTATTCCTGCCTATTGCAGTTGCCATCTTTGATGTGTATTATGTAAATTTAGTTGTCAATCCCAAGCTCTTCATTTCTTCCTCTGTTTTTCTGTGTCTGCAGCATATTTGGGCCTTAGTTATTATTCAGTGATGATGGCAGTTTTAGCAAAAGCCATACAATAGGTCCTATGACTTAATTCATACTCAGTTGTATGTGTGTGAGAATGTGTGTGCTTGGCCGAGAGCAGTGACGGCCTATTTGAGTTCACACTTCACAGAACATCAAATGGATAAATCAATTTGAAGGCTTGCGGGAAAAATAAATGTATGTATGTATTGTGTGTATGTGTCAGGGTTATGCAAACAAAGCTGCACAAGCATATTCACATGCCCCAGTTGTTGTGTGTAATAATGTGCATGTTGCTATGCATACACCACAGTGCGCACATAATTGATCAATGCATAGCATGTGTGCAAATATGATTTTGTTTGTGCACATGCATATTCATTTGCATATTGCATATTTATGTAGCTGCCTGTATATCAGAGATGCAGCATTCTTCACGTTCCATCACGTGCCGGGTTGGTTGAGTGAGAAGAGCCCCATAATGAGTCATCCTTGCTACCATAAAGGACACCTATCACATTGTCTCCCCTGCAGAGCCCTCTTTACATTGAACGTGTGCATGTATGACCTCCTCACTGCACAAATTAACAGTATGCTTGGCGATAATTTCATGTCATCCTTATCATCACCCTTATCAATTTTCCACAACAGTGAAACTGAACCATCTATCATGGTGAGTTAAGTGAAACCCAGCGAAGTCATGCTGTTCAGTTCATCACAACTACTGGTGATGTCATACTTGAGGTCAACAGGCCATTTCTTGCCCACATAAGTGTGTTGTTTATGCTTTTCAATGTTATGGTTACCAAAACCTGCTGCTGAATGAACTACAGGCTTTAGATGAGACAGTATAGTTTAGACAGAGTGAGAGGGGAGGGGAGAAAGCAGCGTTAGTAAATGATAAACTACAGTAGTCCGCAGTTCATTATGAAAGGAGTCATGGTGCTTATGATGTAAGAATGTTTTTATTACTACTCAGTGTGCACGGTTTATGAGTGATCATTTAACATTATCACTTTACCCAAAGATGATAGTGAAATCACATCTCCTAAAGCATCCAAAAAATAACCTGCAACATTGCAAGTATCTTATTACTGAGCTTTTGTGCTTATGCAGCATGAAATGACTCATTGATTTGATTTATTATTAAGACTAAGATCATCTCTGATGTCACTTGAAAAAATGCATTAGCTTCTTATATTCATAACTTCTGAGTGTTTAGTGAGTGCGGATGTAATTATCAAGCGTGTGTTCTAGTAAGTAGCTATATTATTACTGAAATTAATCAATTAGCCAATCGCCAGAAAATACATTTGGAGAATCAATAAACTGTGTGTCTTTTAATAATCAGAAAGAGTCAGCCATGCTAGCACCTCTGTGATGTTCTTGTAGTCACAGTGGCACTTTGACTTAAATGTTAATGTTAGCATGCTAACATGCTCACAATGACATGTATAGTGTATTTTGAGCTACTGTAAAATTGTATGTGTCTTTGTCTGTGTGCCTTAATGTTTTCTGTTCATACTCCACTACCTGTAGGTGTAACATGATGCCAGCGGTAACACTAGGATCCAACTCCCTCACCCTGGCTCCTTCTCCTCCTCTGTAACATACAAAGTAATTACATCTCTTTCCACTCCACACCCCTCCCTCACACACACCACACCCTCGTCTCTAGGCTCCAAATGTCACCCTCATCAGCTCAATTATCCACTGACTTTAACAACATCCTTACATAACCCATTTAGCTCTGTGCTCTCTGAGAGCTTGGAGATGACAAACTTCCACTGCCATCCTCACACCCAAATGATTGTTTCTACCTTTTCTCACCTGCAAGGATTTTAAGTAGATGGTGCTACGTTAAATACATACATTTTAGCCATGTGCCTATTTATGGTCGTGTTGTGCGTCATAACATCCTTTTAAAGATGCTTTAGAGGATATTCTTTTTTGGAGCCTGTTGACTCTGTTAGTATTTGCTTGCGTACATTTCTCTGCCTACTTGTGTGTATGCATTGTCAAGCCAAAGGTCATTGAATAACTGAATCATTCCTGAGAATACATAACTGGCTTATTCATGAACTTCCCCAAATAGATCCTCCAGGGTCCTGCCACTCATCTGTTTTCATTCACATTTCCCCCACTCGCTTTATTTCCAGTTCCCCACTGAGCATAGCATTTTATTTATGGCTCAGCATTTACGGAGAATAGATTCACTTTGATGAGGCAAAACTCCACTGGAGAAGACTTATGATCTATTTTTGTGCAACAGCACATGGGACTCACGTGCTTGGTAATAAAATGCCCTTGATGTGTGCCCTTTGTCTCACAGAGGGAGAAAAAGCTGCACATGCATACATAATGGAGAGGGGGGGGGGACTATTTTGAGATGACTTTTTTTTTTTCTCTTTTGACTGCGATTCATTTGTCTGCTAGTGGAAAATAGATGTGAATCACTCACCATGGCTGCTCTGCAACATCCATTCACTCACTATACTCTCCATTCTTCTGTCCTAATTTACTCCGTCACTCTGTCTTCCTGTCCTTCTGATTCTCATCCTTTGCTCCCAGTTTTCATCTCCTTGTTTTACACAGTTATTTTTCTGAAATATTGCCCTTTTTCTTTGCTGCTCCACTGACAACAGCACAAATATATCTGCCCCACCGTATGGCTTACAAGTAGTTCCAGTTTCTGGTTATTATTCAACTCTGTCCATATTTTCCATGCTTTCAGACGTCCTCCCTCTCTCACCCCTGCCCTCACCCTCCTCTCCTCTTTGTGGGCACCCTGAGTAGCCTGTGTGATGTAATTGTATATGAGAGTCATGTCACCGGGGCTGAGCAGGAGATTATAGATAGAAAAGGAGTGCAGTGCCGACAGGAAAGTAAGGGGCAGGGAAAGGGTTCTCACCACCTCACCACCTCATCTTCTTTCCTCCATCTTTCAAATCACGCTATCATTGATATTTCTGTGAAACCAAAAACAAATGTTGTCGTGGACATACTTATTGTTTGTGTCATCTGTCTACTGCAGAACTATAGTTGTCTCTTTGTGCCATTACAAATGTCACATTACAGTAACCTCCCTGCACCCAATTGTCACCCATAAATTTAAGGGAGAGCCCCACAGTACTTGGGCGTTTATACTTATAGATAGCTGGGGAGTTAGCCACAGCACCAAATTAAACTATTGGCTACTTTATTGTACTTCATATAATAACGTAGCTGATAGCATATTATACCATCTGTGTAGTCTCCGCTTGGTGTAGTGCAGTCTAGTGTGTAAACCCTGGAATACCCTCACTACACTTCATGAAAATTCTCAAGTTTAGTTTTTTTATGTCGTCTCAAACCTGTTATAGTCTTTATCAAAAAATAAAGTGGGCAAAGTTTTAGAACCTCTTTTTAATATATTGCAATTTATTACAATTATCAGCCCACAAAAGTCTCTAAAAAGCAGTATTTACTGCCTGGCTGATTTTCACAACACAGGTAACCACATTGGAGCTTCAGCATGAAAAGACATGAGTATAAATTGGTATTGTCATGCTCCATATGTGTCTGCTTCTCTTTTTCCAGTCACAGCTTCCCCGATTCCCAAACTGTTACCTCTTGTGTGCTAGCTACTGTAGCGCCTCCTGTAGCCTGAGTATCTTCAGCTGTGACACCTCTCATCCTCTGTAGCATTTTCCTAATGAAACCAGTTAGGTTAAGGAGCTTTCACTAATCGCTGCATTTTTTAGGTTTTAGGTTTCCTCTCTCCTCCTTTCTGAAGCTCTCTCTGCCTCACTCTCTCTCTGATTCCCTTGCTCAGTTTATTGCCCATTCCAGCTAAATCCACGCAACCCTCTGTGCTATTGTAGATAACACAGCCTTGGCTCGGAGTCTCGGGGATCTGTCACTGCAGCATTATAGAATACATAATGTGCAGGCATGACATGAGCCTTGACACCTACTGTAGGCCTATTAAATGTGGAGTGTGAGTAGCACACAGTCATTTCACGCAGGGCAAATATTAAACGGTTTGTTAGCTGAATCTGGCTAAAGGGAGCTAATGGCTCGGTTTCATTACTGCAGTCAGCTTTGTGATGTTTGAAGCCTGAGTAGAGCATCAACACTGTGTGTCTCAACACCGCTCCCATTATCACTATTTACTCTGCAGAGATAGTGTGTTTTAGCTTTTTGAGAACAGGGAATGCACGCAGCAGCAAACATCGTGAGCCAAGTTTTTCAGCATTTCTTTGACTTATCACCCAGGGGAAATTAGTTTTCAGTATAATTTTCTATTAATTATGAGATGTTGGATGTGTATTGAGACTTAAATGTTTTTTATCATTCTCAAATGGTACCTTAATGATCAATGCCCTGAATGAAAACATATTCTGAAAACGTTGATGATAAGCCAGCAAAAGCTGAGTGTAGATCTTGTTGGTTTCTGTATATTTCCCAGACTCCACTATCCGTAGTGCAGCGATGAGGCGAGGGATTATCACTGTGGAGGCTGTGAGATACCGAGCAAGCTGGAGACTGAAGGTGCTGCCAGCTAGAAGCCTCTTTAACCTTTATCAGACAGCAGATAGCATCTCAGATAACCTTAAAAGACGGAGGGAGGGAAGGAGTAGGAGTGAGTGGGAGGGATGAAAAGGAGAGTAAGGAAGGAAAGAGAGTAGTAAGGAGTTTGTTGTAGAATTTTTCTCCTTAAGGTGACAAGAAGCTTGTACAGTAGGTTCAAGGTCAATGAATGGCATATAGTGTATACCGAGAACCAGACAATGTCCTATAAGCCCATCCATTATGTTGAAGTGTTATTTGTGTCTCCCTTTTTAAATCCTCACACCACTATCTTTATTTTCTCTTACTCTTGCCCTTTCAGTCTGGCTGTCGATCTATCTGTCTGCTGTCAGTCTGTTTCCGTCCCTCTCTGTAACTGCCTCATCTGTCTCTGTGCTGCACTGATAAGAAAGTGCCCGCCCTGTCTCGGAGGAGAAACCATGGAAACGTACCAGCCACGTGTTGACATCACAGCATGTTAAATATAACCGCCTCCCGTGCCACACAACTAGTTGTTCTGCCGTTGATCCTCGCCTGGCTATAAATACATGGTTTCTTTCCCATAATTGCAGCTCCGACAGGCTTGTTTGGATGGAGGGAGGAATAGGAAATGCCAGAGAGAAAGAAAGTGTGCCTTCGTCTCTCTTGCTGTGCTTCACCACTCTGTGTTTGTGTGTGTGTGTGTGTGTGTGTGTGTGTGTGTGTGTGTGTGTGTGTGTGTGTGTGTGTGTGTGTGTGTGTGTGTGTGTGTGTGTGTGTGTGTGTTTATCCATGTGTTTGTGTGCATGTGTATGCCCTCATTTGACTCTTTCTCATTACACCCCAATCAAAGAGATCGGTAGAGATGGTAAAACTCGTTGCAATAATCTAAGTTAGGACAAACACTCCAGAATTACCTTATATAAATAAACAGTATTGTAACGCTATTTCAGTATTATGGCTGAGGTGATGTAAATTTCCTTTTTACAAAAGCATTTACAAGATGTGATTCATATATTTGTCAACACACTTTGATGTTTTGGCTCTGTGCTCTAATTATGTTAATTGTAACATGACCATGAGATTATGATTTAGTTTGTATCCTGGTTAAGTGTTTGTGCCCGGCTCTACCTATCAAGATGCAGACAAGTAAAATGTGTGATATAATTAGAAGAATAGTATGACATTTTGGACATGCTCTTTGTTTTTCTGGAGGGAGTTTAAGATTGGATCCATAATCATATTTGAATATTAAATGTAAATATATTAAAAACATCTGCCAACCACCACTAAAGCTGACTAATTAATATGTTCTGTCCAAAAAACTAAAGTGTATACACAACAATTACGTGAATATTTCTTGGCTCGATGACTTCTAAGAGTTCTGTTGTTACTGTTAGACAACCAACGGAGATTACAGGAAGTCACTACTCGAGGCCAAGAAATAGTCCGGTACATTTCAGTTCAGTTTTTGTTCACATTAAACAAATGAAGACGGAGCTGTTTCCCTGTATTTCTGTGTCTTTATTCAAAGCTAAATTAAGCTAATGCTGGCAGTAGTGTCATACTTACTGTACAGATATGAGAATGGTATGGATCGTCTTGTCTAACAAAAAAATTGAATGTGTATTGCCTAAAATGTTGAACTATTTCTCTAAAGGATTATCAGGCATATTGATTAGAGAGGTTGAGAGAGCCAACTTATTTGGGCAGATAGAGATTATGTTTTGTAAGTAATGATTTATCTTGATGTTGTCAAACCCAATAGCTAAATACAAAGTGACTGTCCCTTTACCTGTTGTGCCAGATTGGATGAATATACCTTCTAACTGGAGTTGACAGTCTGTATTTGAAGCTGGTTGTGTCACTTCACATCCACAAGAATAAGAGCACTGAGCCAAGAAATTAAAGTGTCTGTTGCTACTAGTTTTTATGGTGTGTAGTCAATTGGAGATCTACAGTGTATGGTTCAAATATTAATAGAGACACATACATCAAGGAAAATGTATGATATACTGCATCTATAACCCATTACAAAGATTAGATAATGCATGCTTACAAGGTGAAAAGTGACTGATTTATGCTTCAGAGTTTTTTGGGGTTTTTTTAGACAAAAGAGTTACATTGATCAAAAGCAGTTAATTATTAGGCAAAACACGACAAGGGCTTATGGAAGTGTCCTCAGGTATGTTCAATGCAACTCAGCAGAAAAAAAAGGAAACCACTGAAGGGCTTAAACTAGATTGAGAAGGAGAGTAAAGTGTTTGTCTTGAGTCTGTCTGCCTGTCTTTATGTAACTGTCACTGGTGTGCATGGGAGATGTTGTGAGCACAGAGCATTGCATGTTGTGACTCAGTCTCTTAGCAGCCACCTCATCTTCACAACCCCGCGGGTCCCCAGAGGCCGGTGCAGGGCCGACCAATCAGAGGCAGATGCCACAATGGCCAAAAGGCTGGTGCTGGGCTGTCGCCAGCCGAGAAATGGTTTCAGTCTAGGAAATGGACATGCGTGTTGATGTGTGTGTGTGTGTGCGCTCTATGCAAGTTTAAGCGTCTCTGAGTGTGAAGAGACAGAGGGAGCTAGCTCTAGTGGGTATCTCTGAGTGAATGTGTCTATGCTTGTGCATGTGTCTGTTTCTATCCCATTGTCTTCTAATGCAGCTTAATCTCCTTAAACCCAGATGATTTGTTATTTCCCCCTCTCACGTGCATGCACACACACATATTTAAAGATCCTAAGCTACTTTCTCAACAAATAACGAAACATTTTTGAGCGATGATTATATTTTAGAACATTTTGTCATGTGATCTCGGTTGGTCTCATGGAAAAACTTTAAACTCTCTTTTTCGTACGATTTTATTTTAATTTTCCAAATATATATCAAGCTACATCACATTAAACGCTTCACATTAACCAAACAAAAAACACACGCTGACCACCACATCAAACTCGCAAGACAGAACAACAGTAAAAAAATAAAAACACATTTACTCAACCAGGACACCCTGAAAGTAAAGTATAAGTTTCTTGAATACGATTAGTGAAAAAAGAATAAGCCTCGGTGCATCCTGTAGTGCATAATGAAATATATATAGTATTGGATTAAAATTAAGTTACACACCCAGCATCTCTGCTAACCAGGGTCAGATGTCAAACCAAGTGTAGTGAGTCTTACAATGTAATTCCACATTTTAAACATTTCCTTGATTAACTACAGTAATATTTGTGAACTTTATCTCTGGTATAATATATTCTATATATGTCAATAGATAGATACTTTATCCCCTAGGGGAAATTTATATTGGGTCAACTACATGTTTTCATTAATCATGATGTCTTTAGTTAATGAACAACTTTTAACTCTTAATATGTTACCTTTACTAATGTTATATTTGTTAAATCAGTGTTGTTGTTATGGAGGAGAAGAACAAACATGTTTGAATGTTGGATGTCATGGATTACTTATATTGTAATGACTTACTAAATGCACTGCAACTGATGTGGATATTGGATATTATGTCTGAGCTTCTTGTTAATCTACTTTTTATTGAGTTTAATACATATTTTTATGTATATAATATTTGATCATTGTATTCCCCCCGAATTATCTGGTGCAACACATACACACAAATACAATAAAAGGATTTTCAAGTCAATTAGTAGCACATGAATAGTGTAAAAACATGATACTGTCATGAATGTATCCTTGTTACAGGGCATATACTATGTGTGCATTGTGTATTTTAATCCGTGAAAGGAAAAAACAAAACTGTCTGAATGTCAGTTCACTGTATAGAATTTCCATTTGCAGCATGTTAATCAATCGTCGTTATTTATTCATGGATTCTTGTTTTTACATGGTGCTGGCTTCTCTCTTGAGGTGATGTGGTATTTTTTACTTGGCACCAAAAATACTTCAAAAGTAGCTTTAATAATTTACTGCTGACTTTGCTCTTCTTAAGAATAAAATGATTGAAAATAGGCTCCTTCATATCATCTGGGATCATTTTGAATATCAAAGTAGAACGTGTTCTTGAAAACTAAAGACTTGACAAAGGCAAGTTACCCTGTCCAGGTAACTCGGGTACAGAGCTAGAATTAAACAGAGGCTGTTCCATCGCTGAATACATGTATTCTGGGAAGACACCTAACCTGCATCCTACTGTGCCTGCCGGCCTCATTCACAAGCACATGATGAATTAAGTTGAAATTGGTCAATTTTGAAAACTTAATTCCTGGGA